GACAATTTCACTGAGCAAAAACTGGACTTTTCGGTATCCTATATGAAAAGACACACGACTAACAGACAGAGTTTTGCATTAAAACCGACTCACGCAAAACAACTCAAATACAACAAGCAATAAACTAACTGAACACTAAAATATTTGCATAAAAATTCATAACATGTAGCATAAAACAAGTAGGAAAAGTAGGAAATTATTTTTTTTAATATTTTACTTCACTTTATATCAAAATCATTCATAAGAAATGTTTTCGTAAACAGTTAATACGAAAAAATGAGTAGTGTCAAGTATATAACTGTACCCGGTAATTCAAGAAAGTTTTAAAACTAAGAGGAGACTTGAGGTTATATGAAAGAGATATATCCTAAGTGGTAACCAAACCAATATAGAAAACACTATGTAGTTTAAACCATCAAACGTTTGAAAAGAGTGATGTCAAACCTCCTTCACACAATCAAATATGACTACCACTAATATGAACAGTTAGGTTACTCAATGCTAATGATAACTATTACCATCGGTGTGACTGAAAAACTCGAAAATCTCGGTACATTAAACTTTGCATGTGTCATCAAAATTCCTTAAAGAATAACAGCCAGGTGATGAATTAGAAAGGAACAGATTATTCAAGAGTACTCATTGATAAAGAAAGGACCCAGCCCGCAGTTAAAAGAATGAAAGAAGTCATTACGAACGCTTACCACCACTTTATGACTACTTAATCAGTTTATCTATCAACAGGAGTCAACTTACATTGAGTGATTACTGGAAGGCAATCAATTTCGTGTTGTCCTGAGTGTTATTCAAATCCTGTTGATCATTTTGCAATGGTCAGCCTCTTAGCTAGGGGATCACATCGGAAAATAATCCATAGAATTCCAGCAGCCTTCGGGACTAGACCATGAATTCGATTACTCTCCAATGACCAATCAGTGTACCTAATCCAGTCCTACAGAAGGTCAATCGCAGCCCAATTAGGACGTTGATAATGTCACTGACTGCAAAACTGGGTGGTGCGGATATGAATATCACAAGAGATGTCGATTCCCTTGAGGTTGACAATACATTTTCCCTGCGACTTCTAACAAGCACGAAATATATATCAGGCACGACTTCCTCCAAAGTGCCTCTAACTAACAAGGAGGGATAGACTTGATGAAATCAACCATTACAACTGATAACAAACATTATGCACACCCAAATGACGAAAATCAAACCAGTACCAAAATATATACATAAAAGACTTAAGCAAACAAGAAAAGTTCTATCAATCAAATACGGTAGGAAATTTCAGCATATATTCTAACGATGAATCAAACTCATGTGTTTCCTTTGAAGGTGGACTGAAACCACCGCTCACTGCATCTCAAACTTTGATCTAGCTTCCATATAAACAATCAATAAACTATTTATTGTCTGGTTGGGCATTTTAATGAAACTTATCTCCTTAAAAGAACAACAACTATACGTACCTGACATCAGTAGAACATACTGACCTCGTAATATAGCACAGGAGATCATGCCATTCTCACTTTATATATCACTAGAAGGTATGTTCTGACTAAAAATAACAACTCACTGGCTATATAAACAAAGTTGGCTGTCAGCCCTAACAGGAAACATTTCATAATGTTCTGCAATCTCCACTGAAAAGCTATTTCATCTGTGCATTAGGATGATAAGGGAATCAATGTGGTGTAACTATTGTCAATTGCATTTTTGAGGTGGCTGTACTAAGAACAACTGGTAAGTTGAAATGCATTAGTGTTTCATTCATAAACATATCTTAATTGGTAAGTGTTCAGATCATTCGAAAAAATATCGACGCTAAGTGATGAATTTAGCGGTATTCAGACTTTTTAAATAGCACATAATGAGGAAATTGATTTAAGCACTGTTACAGCGTTATTTACAATAATATGGATCTCATAGAGTGTTCAAAACAGTGGAAGTAACCCAGTGGGAATAATGAATATTCAAGTAGTTTCATTTCAAATGACATAAACATAAGCTTGACATAAAAAGGAATCACTATTGCATAATGTATAAGCTTCCTTTGCTTAACCGAAATGCATCGAACACAGAGATGAGTCGCGAAATAAAACAAGGAACGAAAAGATTTGTAGCTAGATTACCGAAAAAATATCTAACCATCTATTTAAGTTAATTAAATCTAAATGTTAATTATAAATCTTCCACACCCTTATACAATAGGAATAACACTGAAGGTAAAGGATGTTTTCTACTACATGATCAACCACATGAACAGTAAGTAGTTCGAACTTACATGGAAAATAAGTAAGTCTAATAGTTCCACTCGCTAAACATTAGAAATGTCTCCACCGGGTTAACTGATTTCATCAGCCAAATATCAATGAAGTATTATTGTCGTAAGTTTCTTAAACTCCAGTGCAGATAAAATAAGATTATTAGAGTATATGACAATTTAAACTGGTCTAGACAACGAAGTTTTCTCATCAGTTTAATATTAGACTTTTTCTGGTGAAATCTCATTGAGAAGGAAAATGAAATTAAAGTTTAATTTACAAATACTGCCTTAATAAGTCAGTGTTCATTTATTAGTCCATACCTAGTTTGTGGTCATAAACAATTGGAAGTTAAACAATGGTTTTGCATTTATTGAATACAGATATGATCCAGAGTACAAAGTTACCATAAAAAATGGTAGTAGACAGTAATTAATTTACTATCGAAAACTAACTTTCCAGAAATTCCTCTGAAAGAGAGTAAAACCTAACTTATGGTATTACAGGAATCCCATTTCTAAAAAACCACTTTGAAGAATTCACAACACTGTTGTAACATTTTACCTTGTCCAGTGATCAGTTTCAAGACTAAATAGTCAGAAACGTAGAACAGTACTTAAATGTTAAAATCTCTATTCAAACTACTTAAACTGTTAGTTGTGGTGACAACATGGATATGACTACTACAAGTTACTTATATATAATAGAAAGCTAGTAAAATCAATGTTCGTCACATCTGCATGAATCGATTACAACAAAAAGTATTTCTTAGATTCACTTATATTTTCCTTTGACCTCATTAGTTAATCAAAGAGGGATTTCACTTCTCTGAATAAACGATGATGCACTTTTAATACTTCTACATTCTTATACAAAAAGAACCTCGCCTAGTTTATTAGTTTACTAACCGGTCGAAAGCTCGGATAAAGAAGGAAGGTTGGGCATAAGGGCATAACAAACCATCCTCGAAAACCAATACAATCGCTAAACAAACTTGAAAGCACAAAGAAAATATAAAACATAAAAATAAACTTATTCATTGCTGGAATCGGGGAAACGAAATGACACCAGTTCGTGAAAGCCTTCGGCAGCCAATTGGCCGACTTGTCTTCGCTTCTCTCGATGGAAGCAAAAGTAAGAATAGGAACAAGGAATATTCTCACAATATTTGAAGATGGCTGGCAAGACTGTCCAGATTGCAAAGAGATGAGACGGTATAGCATAGAAGTGCTAAAAATCTGCAAAGAATCTGTAGATGGAATGGAAGTGACTCTACAAATTGTCAACTGGAGAATCAATATCTACTCCTATATTGTCACCCAGACGACAACCACCAGCTCACTGAGTTATGGAGTCGCCATCATGATGTTTCCCAGACACAGAACCACCAGTGAACACAAGCCCTCCAACAAAAGGAGGAGTGAAGTCGTGAACGCCATAAAGTTACTGAAATCCCGGAAAGCAGAAGGACCAGAGGAAATTCTACTAGAAGCACTGAAAATAGATGTAGAGACAACAGCGGACATGCTCACACCACTACTGCAGAAGGTTTAGAAGGAAAGATGTCTGCCGATTGATGAGAAGAAAGGCTACCTTGTGAAACTACCGAAGAAGGGTGACCTAAGTCATTGCAAGAACTGGCGAGGAATCATGCTCCCGTCCCCACCCACCACAAGCAAAATACTAAGCCACATCATCATGAGAGACTAGAAAACGCTCTGCATTCAAAATTACAACCGAAACAGGCTGGCTGGTTGGCTGGCCTCAGGAAAAACAAGTCATGTGTGGGTCAAATTGCAACGCTACGCTACGCATCATTATAGAACAGAGCATAGAATGGCAGTCAACTCAACCTCAACTTCATAGACTTTGAAAAGGCTTTCGACAGCGTCGACCCAGAAGTAATTTGACAACTGCTGCTTCAACACTACAGTTTCAGTGCCACAAACATTATCAACCTCAATCAACAGCTGTATACCATATTGAGCAACATGCAAAGTGATTCACAATGGAAAGCTCAGTGATGCCTTTGAATGAAGACAGGGGACAAGAGTAAGATAAGGTTGTCAGCTACTATGTAAGGCTGAACTAACAGTTGACACGGTCTGTAGTAAATGTAAGCGCTTTACAATTTTTCAACCACTTATCGTTACATCAATTCCACCAAACTAAGTTAAAATAACACCAACGAATACACTAAGTAGTTACAATGTTAAATAGTTGCTTATAAATAATGATACAGTGCATTCCTATTCAAAACACCATTCTCTTTTCAGAAAATAACTGCTGCAGAAGACTAACAAAATACTCAGTACAAGCGTGTATGGAATACAAAACACTTGAATTATCTTCCAATAAAATCACAGTAGTACAACGAAAAAAAACATAGAACTCAAATAAGTTTGTATTAAGGCAAGTAGAAAAACAAATTACAAACATTAAGGTATTAAAAATATTAGTCAAAAAAGGAAACAGAATAAAAGCACGTTGTTACATCACAAAAATTGTTCATCAATTATGTATGATAGGGCAGAGAAGATGGAAAAGAGCTGACTGATAGACATGAGCAAGGAAACAAATTACCTCAACAAAAATAACAGGAAACACTGAGTAGATAGCTACAATAAACACAAAGATGAAGTGATGGAATGAGCTGACGACAACAACGACCATAACAGGGGAATTGAAACACTTATGAAAAATTTGTTTTACACTTTTTCATTTCATTTGTTATCTGATGTATATTACCAACTGATTACGTATAGGCATATTTTTGTAAGGACTTTGTGTCATCACCTTTTGAAAACGGTGATAGTGTTGAATTAATTGAGCAAGTAAAGCCTAAAATAAAATAATTTAAAGTAGTTACTATAATATGGTTACCAAACTATTCAAATATGCACTAACATACTTATGTTCTCAGGGATATAATAGAAAAAGAAATATCTTCTTTACAAGTGAAAGTAGGATTGATATTCAGAAACATTATTACTAGTAATAGTATCATTATTACTACTACCATTATCAATACCATGATTACTAGTAGCATTATTACCATCAATAGTGGTATCATTGTTAGTAGTAATGCCCATCTTTAAAAAGGGTCTATGTAAAAATCATTAGGGTATTAGTCTGTCACCAGTCACGTCGAAAATATTGACTCCAGGCCAAGTTTCTTTCAGGTATTGGATGCATTGCATTGATCATGGGTTTACCCTCTCTCAGAATTTTGAACAACGTCACACGTATTCCAAACCAACAATCGTTGGGTTTCTTGACATTAGGTCTATCTTTGATTCGTTAGACAGAGTTGTCTGTTGGAGAGAGGTGAGCCTGAGAAATTTATTAACATTTTGAAAGTCCTAGATAGCGACACCTCAGGTAGATTAAGGGCACCTGTTTTCACTGTTCCAAACCAGTAGTGGGGTTAGGCAAGGTTTCCCGATTTCTCCATTCCTCTTTAACTTTACCATCAATGACATGCTTCAGACAGCTCAGAATGTGTAGTACGTGATGGTGGTGTAGATATGCTACCAGAAAACGGCTATTCGCATATTGATAATACCCGACTGATTAACGCAGGGTTATTTTATCGTAATTGTGCATCTACAAAGTAGGGGTAAAACCTAACTGAAAGTGTGCCTACCATTCGCTTTGATCTACACTCATGATTTGACTACGGCGATCAAATACAGTCCTTAATTTAAAGCGCTTACTCATTACTGAAAAATATTCCCCTTAACATACAAATACCTTGAGAAAATAACTGATACACGGGTAAGCCATAGTGATGACACACTACCGACTACTCCACACAGTGACATTGGTTTAAAACTGCAGTAGTTATATCCTTGGAAGAATTCTAGTTACTTGTGCAAACCGAACGGAAAACTCATCAAACACACAGCACGATACCTCTCAGAATAGATGTATGAAACGAAGATAGACAATTAGCAGATTTGTGTACTCTTGTACCAATAAATCAGTTGTGAAAAATATTACAATCACTAGTAACATTTAGTTCATAGTGTTTCAACTGCTTATTTCACACCTCTATTATAAGTACAAAACACAATTACTTAAGAAATAACAGTATAAAAACTCCATGGTAAAATATAATTGGATACTGAAGTAAAACTAGAATACGGAATGACAGCATACGCAAGCTAGGGGAAAAAATACACACCTGAAATATCTGTGTTCCTAAGGTGAAATTAGCAAACTCCATCATAACCTCATCATGTATCTTTTCAATTGAATTCTTCCAGTCAATATTGAAGCCTTTTACAATTCGTGTTACACGAGCTGGAAAGCACACAAAGAGCAGAGAGAAAAAAAAGCGCGGAAAATAGTGTTCAACAGTTGCCTCAGTTAATATAAGAGTAAAATTTGTACACTGTGATAAATCTAATAAATCAATAAAAATGGAGTCGTAACAATTAGCTGGAAAACAAAATTTACCATAGAACAATAATACAGAAGATGTATTGATTGTTTACATTCAGTAACAAATTAAAAATAACCTTACAGTCTCTGGAAGAAAAAAATCAACTGTATGCTATTCGGCATTTGATTACAGGACATTAGGTAAATTAAAATGAAGAAAGTACCAAAACCACTTTTAATTAGTCAACACTAACTCGCATTAATTACTAACTAGGCCGGTTGTACAAAATATCGGAAGTGTAGGCAATATGTAATATGACATTTTGCCATCATATTAATGAATTTTGACAGGTAAGTGGTTTTAGTTTCGAGTGTAGCTTCAGTTGTAGAAATCTTACCGGTATCACTGATATTTTTGTCTTGTTTACTATAATATCTTATTTTCGTTAATTTTCTGTTTTCATGCTGTTGTGATATATGAAGATTTGCACCGAGGCATTTTATGTGAAGAACGGGGTTACTTGATTTGTCTGTCTGCTGCTAATACAACGTCATATTATTGGTTATTTCAAAGCTATAACTGAGAGTAGATTTACTAATAATCACCAGGACTACAATGAATAATCTAAATGAAAACAGAAACGAGGCATTTTATTTCAAAATATGCCTCAACTTTTAGACTTCCTTTCTTTCTTCTTTCATAGTCCATTTATCAGTAGTCAATTTGTCTAGAAACAGTTCAATAATTTGTAGTTTAATTATTTAATCGCACATAGTAGTCCTTAATGAGTGATGATTGACAGCTTCCTTTCTCGAGTCATTCAATCAGAAGTTCGGTCAGTAATCCTTTATCAAAACAAATAAGTTTTCCAACGAATTAAAATAGCTTAACAGAGCATTGTAGATCTGAGCACAAACGTTAGATAGTTCCTTCTACAACCAGCAACAGCAATACAGTATGAAGAAATGAATAGAAAAAAGATCGCATCCAAATAAGTAAAAAAAAAGATATGCGAATAAAAACGGAATGATAAGAAAATGTCCAAAACTTTAATATATATGATCGATTTCGGGTCACATTGACAAGTTTCTAACTACTGATTTCCAACAAACAGTTTACACTTCCATATACGGCTCAGTTCAATAGTAAGAGATGACATAGACTGCTGCGAAGCCTTGGTTTGGTCAATCATAGCTTTATCCAAACCTAATATTAGTTCGCATACCACTGCCTATCGACTTAGACAGTAGCTCGACAAATATAACAGACGTCCTTACAAATTCAATCGGTGCCCTTTCACAAACTCAACGATTGACTCGCCTTCCATAACTAATACTTTATGCCTATTTTATGCTCTACGCTACTTACTGTGTGTTATTAATACCTATGATCGGGAGTGTGCAACCTCCTCGGTGGTAAGTTGTTGGAAGTTTTCGAAGAGCTCATTTATCTGGGTAGTTATGTGAGTGCGAGTGGAGGTGTGAGTGGTGAAATTACCAACCACATATCGAAAGATGGAGTGGCATACGTCAATCTAGGCCACCTTTGGCGCCGTCGCGACGTTAGTCTGACCGTCAAAGATCGAGTTTACAACACTTCGGTGCAAGTAGTTCTCCACTACGCCAATGAAACCTGGTCTCTCCGAGCTGAGGATATGCAACGACTCTGTGTGTTCGGTCATCCTTGTCTCTGAAGGATGGCTCGTATACGGTAGCAACACCATTTAAATAATTCTGGGGTAAGACAACGTGTGTTTGGGCATAATGGAGGTCGTCATTCAGTGAGTGAAGTCATCTGGAAACACCGGTTTCAGTGGCTTTGAAATGTGTTAAACATACCGTCCCAACGGTTTCCATACAGCCCATTGTTTACTAGCCCTGGAATGAGATGGAAGAAGCAGAGTGGTAGTCAGTGTATGATGTGACGTCGTGTGATGGAGGATAGTTGTATCGAGCTAGCATCTGTTGGTGCATCACGACTCCCTGGGTGGGGTCCGAGAGATCACCCAACTCAGTGGGATTGAGATGTTATCAGACACAACTCAGAATCGAAATCAGTGGCGGTCATGGCTGCAGCTTTCTTTTACCTTCTGGTGCTGAAAAGCAATGAGTGTTTTGTTTTGAATGTATCTTACTGGACTGCCTTTTAAATCATTCTATTCTTACTGTTTTTAACATTCACTTCTCTTTCACTTTATGTCTTCAAAACAGTGTTAGATTATATTTTGTATTGCATTTCTTGGTCACACTGCTGTATCATGCTTTTGTTCTAATATAATGAAACGTCGTGTCTTCTACTTTGAACGGCCTGTTTAATAACGCGACAAAACGCATTACTGATTAGTTAACTTGCACTTAGACAGGTAGTGGAGATATTTTACTGGTAACAATAGAAGTTAGTGGATGACAAACAGGAATTTTTTATCTAAACTGAGACTGCATCAACAACCAATTTATTGAAGTTTATTTAACCTCCTATAAAAGTGTAGTGAAAAATGTGTTCAATCACTTCGCCAGCAATCTTCAAGACAGATTTCAATGTCAACATGTTATAGCATAATTATATGATGCATATTGCAGACTGGACAATTTAGTTAATAAAAGACAGAAAACAAGCCATGACATGGTACAGTTGTTTATATGTGTTTAAGTTATCAAACTTCATGAATGATGTATCAAAAGACAGTAAAAAAAAAAGGAAAGCGGAAGTGGTGAAAATTATGATTACAATAACGGTATCAAAAAACTGGGATAAAACGACAAAGGAAACAAGTTACCAAAGGATAAATTTATTTATAATACACTGATTCATATCCCTAATGCACAAACTCTTCGCAGATTTAATTGCTATGGGACATGTGGGAATTGATGGTACTACCTGGTTTCCAAATTCTGTTAGGTACAGTGAGGTTAAGATATGTGACTCAAAAGTTGAAAGTCGAGTGCCCACGTCAATGAGCTACATCCTTGATCGATTTTGAGAGGTATGATTCAGCCCACAACTTTATATCCTATCCATCTCATAAAACCAAACTAGGATATCTAGAAGTGCTATTGGCTAATGGTTTAAGCAAGGCTGATGCAACCCCTACAACAATTGAAGTGGTGAAAAACTCAGTCAACTCCTACTTAACCGCTAAATCAGATATCTAGAGCTATTTCAATCTGATCTCTGAGCACTTTAGTATGTCCCACTTGTTTATGCTTTCGCTTACCTGTGAACATCGTTGTTAAGGATGAAAAATATACTTCCCAGACACTTGAAAGTCATAAGTCGCTTACATATAACCAAGAAAGTTTTAGATTATCTGAATCTTGACATACACTGACGTGAATCCAAATCTTTAGAATTTACATGTTAGATCCTTCTGTGAAGAAATTATCTATTCAAATTTGTGATGGTGTCTCCCGGTAGCTGAATATTTAACCATCAGTTAGAAACATAACAGCGCTTAATAAAGTGAACAGACTTTTGCCAACATCTACTGAAAAATAAGATTCAATAGTCATTCATACACTATATAATAATAAAAGTACACTTTATTCCGGCAACAACAACAGTTGATCATCATACCTTCTTCACTGCGAATGGTTTGTGTTGCTTCAGTCTGGTCTGTTGATAACTGGTTTCCACTAGCTGATCTAGTCTCAACATCACGAACAAAAGATATTAAACAGCCAAAATAGGGTGATAAAGCTTCATCAATGTATGATGCTGTATGTTTGGTTACAGATTCCTGACAACGAATTACTTCTAACGAATCACCAGCACCATGTTCCTATGTAATAAACAATTATTTTCAAACAGTAAACTGTTAACCATTTATAATAATTAATTAATTCTATGCTAAAAGTATATTACGAAAACGTTTACAAATATTTCTTTTCTTTTATAATGACGGGAAAAATGAACGTGTATATTGATGCAGAGGTATAATTGCAAAATACAATTAAAGTGTAACTTTTTTCTAGACTGTGTCAGATACACGTAAATTTCAATAGTTCAACGAATCAAAGCAGAGAAACGATATCTTCATTTACCGCAATGACTATACTAGGAAATAGTTATAGAATCAACATAAAAGTAATCCTTAAAGTAATGAATACTAATTATTATAAATAAATACCGAGTTTGCTTATCCTTAGACTAGATAAAAACTACAAAATTACCAAAGTGTATCCATGATCCAAGCTGTATATACTTGCTATCATACTAAAATATATTGACATTACACTCAATCACATCTATCAGATCCCTTTTCAAGACTTACAACTTTCTAAGGAATATACTAACCTCAACCCAAAGCAGCATATTAACTCGTTCACTGCACTAATTGAGTTAACTTAAAAATTTAAGATGTTTTCTTCATGTACTAAATTCATTTCGAAACTAATTTTGTAAATGATTGCGAATCCTAGTTCTCACATTTGATAACTTCTGAAAGATAACGAGAATGTAGTAATGCACCTAGGCATTTTGGAAGTAGAATTCATCAAGTAATGGGTTAAGCGTATCTACAACAAGTCAGTCTATCGACTAAAAGCATAAAAACAAAGTGACTATCAGGTATAATATCAGCTTACTTACAGTTAGTACACTTATTACCAAATCATAATTGTTGATAAGAAATATGTGTGCCAACTTTGGACGTGAAAATGTCTTAGCCAGAGAATTTAACACATGCTCAAATTGAGTTTGTAGGTGAGCCAAACGACTAAGAATACGAGGATCAAGGCTAGGCTTCGAATCTGTATGATTAGAATGGTTCTGTGAAGAAGGTACATTATGTGAAGAGTAATACACGTTTGAATTGTCTGAACTGTTAGACTTGCCAACAGAGTCATCGAAAAGTGGAGCTACAAAGTATAGTTTGTTTAATTAATTAAAAAAAAGATATTATAAAACAGTGGAAAACTGTTAACTATAGTTACATAAAACAGAACTAAATATCTTGGTTGTATTGTGTTTTCTGAGCTGGGTTGTTTAATCGTGAAGCATTCATCGTCCTTCTAGACATCATCAGCACTAATTTCAGTATGAAGTTACGTTAAAGAGATGCTGTAAGACGTGCAAATGACCTTCAAAAATTATGAGATGATTATTTTGAAAAGCAAAATACTCAATACATTAAGAAAAATATACTTCATAATACACTTCATACTGAAGTTATTGCTGATGATGTCGTCTAGAAAGACGATGAATGCTTCACGATTAAACAACCCAGCTCAGAGAACACAATACAACCAAGACCATCCACCTAAGCTACAAATATTCTCCATTATTTCAGAACTAAGTATGCATTACGATGGAATGCATGAGTGTAACATAGACTGTCGAAACCAGCCGATAGCTGCTACCCTAACGTAGTGGTCGAGTCTGTATATCACAAAGACTCAATGAGTCATATATATATATATATATATATATATATATATATATATATATATATATATATATATATATATATATATATCTTAGAACATTAACCGTAAGCGAAACCAATATGGAAAGAGAAACAAGGTAAGTGGAAGTGAGAAGTAGGGTAGCGAGAAGAAATAGTAATTTGAAAATTTACAGTGTAAACTATAAAAAGGATGGTTTAATAGTTACTTTTGAATTATTAATATCCTTAAAAAATGTTTTCAACTCTATATTCTTATCTCCCTCACAATTTTCTTTCACAAACTAAATGCCTGACGTGCAGCAAACATTCCCTTTCCCACCTACTTCCCGTATTACTTAGGTGTCAGGTGAATAGTTACGATACAACCTAATTTAGAGCGACCACAATTGGCATTCAAATGATTAGCTAATAATACAAACCAACTGCAGGCAAAAAAATTTGTTAGATGCATGCACACAGAGAAGTAGCTTTGTTCTATGTTCACATATTACTGTTTTGCAGTCATGATTAGAGAAAAAAATTGGAGACCATATTTACGCTAAAGAGATGCTGTAAGAGGTGAAAATGACCTTCAAAAATTATGAGACGATTATTCTGAAAAGCAAAATACTTAATACATTAAGAAAATTATACTTCATAATGCACTTACTACCAGGAAAACCATGTCCAACTGAATGTAGACTAGCGGCCAACTCAGAGTATCGTCTAGCAATCCAATGAGGACGGATAAGAGAATACATTTTCGGATGCAAGCCAGAAGTACTGCTTCCAGTTATATTAGGATTTGTTGAAGTATTATTGACGCCTGAAGTGGATATATTTGTTTTTGCCATATCACGAGCATCTGTACCAAAACTGTTCACATCCAAATACTGTAACATAGATGCTATGTGTACATCAAGCCTATCTGTAACACGTACCCATAATGTCTCGGTCATTTTACTCCAAAAGCTTTTAGGTAAACATAATTAAAACGGGCAAAGTTAATACACTAAGAGCAGGTGATAATATTACAATCATAGTTTACGGTACATTGTAATAATACCAATTAAGGCACCTTTGTTATTCCATATTAAACAGTTACGGTTAGCTTTGGAGCAGAAATAGGGCAGTAAAGAGGATTCCGCAGCCATCTACCTAAGAGGCAGAACCTTGAACAATTTTATGTTAAATATCGTCCCCATATTTTCTTGATAACCATGATTTAAACAGGGCATTGCTAATTCAAAATTTATAGTTTTCTTACTAATCCAAAATAGCAGCGTACCAATAGGAAACAACATGGATTCTTTTCACCAGTAATACAGTAATACTTACGTCTGAATTAAAAAATAGGTGATATCTACAATCAATATTATCACCATTAACCTAAAGATTCTCAGATACTACATATTGATACAGACCCCCACACTCATGCTGACTGATATTTTCATGCACACCATGAAAGCGTCTTCCGAGATAGTTGTGCCACCTTTCATTCATTATACTCAATAAGCAATCACTACTGCATATAAATGGTATAGTAATGCAACATAACCAAATACAGTGAGAAAGTCTAACCCTTATAACATTGATTCAATCTAATACAATTTCATTTATATACTAGGCTGAGTCACACTTAATATTTAAGAGTTTATGATACTACTCGACTGCCCAAGGAGCAGTATGTGGAACAAAATTTGAACCTAGAACCTATTGCCGGGAAGTTGAATACTCAAGCTAGTAAGCCACAACTCTACTAATTATAAGGCAGAGGGCAAACAAGGAAGAAGTTAAGGAGAAAATAAGATGTAAAATGTGAATTTATCATCAGCTATTTGAAGCTTAAAAGTTAACTGTCTCATACAATCTTTCTGAAGTTATCAGGTGGCCTGCTTAAACTTTGGGTTACTGAAAATTTCCCACCAAATTTATTTCATCAAAGTCTTCCCTTTCAATTTGTTTGAATCTTTCAAATATGCCTTTTAAATGCATCAAGTACTCTTGCACACTTTCAAAATGATTTCAAACTGCTGTTTTTCTAGTGAACAACAACACACAAAAAAACGATACGCCGGTAAGAGATGGGGTTATAAATGCACAGAAACACAGAACATCACTATTCCTTGGATAACCATGTCGAATCGCAGATTTTGGTACTGGTTTAATAATTACCAAAATTACGCTCGATATTCTATTCACTCACTAGTTCAAACCAGACGCTAACGTAACATAAGGTGCCCGTTTCGTATTGTGGCTTTTAGTACTGTTATTGTTAGCACTATTCATATACAATGATTATTTCGCTTACAGATATGCTACATGGAATGAATTTATTGAACTATTACATCCTGAGAATCCCATGCTGGACCACAAGTCTTGATTGTAACAAAGCTATTATTACTAAATTATTAAGGTACAAACTATTAAGATGTTTAGAGCTTAGAACATTACAGTAAACAATAAATAATTCTGTACTAACGTGAACAACTTTGAGCTACAACACTTACAGCCTCCAGTTGCATTAAATATAACTATTATACTGTCCAATTGATCACAACCTACTCCAATCAGAATGTACCTTGATCATACGAAATAGGTTTATGTACCAGGCCATGGGCCACATTTAGTACCTGTAAACTTGTAATACTAAGTGATTAGCCAGGCCAAAAGGAGGGCAAAATGAGTTTTGATATGTAACCTATGGATTCATAGTTGTGTACGCAAACCAATAAGTCACAGTTCCTACGTAACACAAATCAAGAATACGTGAACTTTTGTTTTTGAAAGGATCCGATTGATTGACTAAGTGTAAAAGATTTTTTTAAAAAGCAGAAGTGCATAATTATCAAAACTCACTTATCCAACACGTGTACACCTCTTTCTTTAGCTAAACGAAGCATAGCATGTAATAACTGAAGGCAGATCAACAAACCGATTGCATCATGAGAATATGCGGAAATTATACAAGTTTCAGTAAACTTTTGTGTCCAATTTAAACTACGAGACATGATTTGGTCAAATAAACTAGCCAGTGCTACACCGCTCTGTATTTGATTTTGATTAGGCGTAACTTGGTCAGTGGAATCTGTTTCTGCACTGAGGAGGAAAAAATCTGACAGAAAGTAGTATTCACGACAAACAGTATCCAGAAGAGCATAATGAATAGAACGAAATAAAACTTCGATAGGATACTACAAAAAAAATAACATACAGATTACAAAGTATACAAATCATCTTTTTCAATGATCAATAAATGATATAAAGCAAGACCAGAATTTAAAATAATTTCTCATACACAATGTTCAATGGGATAACACATTGGCATTGGTTTAGACTGCGAATTTTTCACAAAGTTTAAATTATCCTAGAAAATAGGTGTCTGTTCAAACTGTTATCAAGCTCCAAAGTCAGAAAATGCTACAAATACTAGCAAGCTGATTCTCAGACTAGAATTCCTTCGCAGTGAATTAGGTTATAATATTTTGCAACACTGACTTGAAATGTTATCAGTTCTTTTAAAAAGTGTTTCAAGAATATTAGGGAAGCTTAAAGTCATGCGTAAATATTATGGATTTCAATTTAAGCTTCGATTTAGACAGTCTGTCTACCTTGAATTCCAAGATTCATATGTTGAAGAATAACAAACTCCGGCAGTATTTTTTCAGATATATATATATATATATATATATATATATATATATATATATATATATATGTAATCATTATTTTTTCCCTTGGTTTCCTAGTGAACCATAGGACTTCAATAGCACACCTCTATTGCACTATCTTCTCTGCTGTCTTCTTCAACCTAGCGCCGAGACTGCCTATAAGCTTTCATTTCTTCCTCACACCATCTCCTCCATGTAACTCTCAACTGCAACGCCCAACTCGTCGTTCCCCATTTCGCTTCCACTCCACAACCTGACCTGATGCGTGATGTCTCCAGTCAGTCTTCTCAGAGTATGCCCAATCCATCTCCACTTACTTCTGAATACTTGTTACGTGATAGGTTCTTGCTTCGTTCGTTCGTTCGTTCGTTCGTTCGTTCGTTCGTTAGTTGCAAGAGTTCCTTGTTGCTTATTCCTATTTTTATGGCCATCTCATCTCCATCTTCTGTATCCGGTTACAGCGTAGGTGGCAACTGTTGATGAATGTCTGCAGTTTGTTGCAAATGCTTTCCGTGACACGCAAACTTTCGGAACCACACAGAAGCACTGACTTGACATTGGTGTTGAATATCCGGATATTGTTCACACTTTATGCTGAGTGCAGTAGATCTCCACATAGAATTCAGGTTAATGCAAAAAAGCCTGTCTTGCTTCCTTTCCAATCCTGGCTTTGACATCCTCAACTGTGCCTGTGCCGCGTGTAGTTGAAACAATGCTGCCTAGGTAGGTAGATGAAAGAGACAACTTCCTTCCGATTTCTCCCGCTGGTAGTGATTGGTGCTTGTTGTTCATGTTGTTCATATATATATATATATATATATATATATATATATATATATATATATATATATATATATATATATATATATATATATATATATATATATATAGTAATACCGAAGTGCACTCAGCAACGTTGTGTACATCCATGCAGTACAAAACGAATCACGCCTATTGTGTGAAGACCAATGATACTACCTGGCTGTCCAGACCTCAGTAGGCGGCGCTGGATTCGAACCTGTGACCAAATGGTTGGAAGTCTAGTGCCTGGACGAAGGAGCCACACAACTTCACAGATTGTATTAATGAAAAAGAACTATAGATAAGCATGGATACACAAATTCAAACCAACTTAAAACTTTACGATTGTATAGAAATTTGGCATGGCTCAAATAAGACACATAGTTTTGATATTTTTCTTTCCTGGTAAATGAATTTTTTAATTTTAATTCACTAGGAAAATATAACTCAACTCGCACTGATATCTGATTTGAAATAACTATGGACCCTTTGCCTCTAAAGAGAAAAAGTATTAAAATAGCATTAAGTTGTTAAAAAGAGGGGATACCGTTAGTACACTTACTTTAGCATCAGCATTACTGGCTACATGTGGTAAGATAATAGTACTCTCTAAATTCGATTTACTCAGCACACGGAATGCACGATCACCTAGGCCAAAAAGTCCAATACGTGTTCCTGAATTTGTGGACGTTGATAACGTGGAGTTATTGGTGACGCTAGAGATTGAATTGAACATTAAACTGGACGCAGAAGAAGCTGAACTATACTTGTCTGGATTTTTTCCCAGTAAATCGTCTTTTTCATATGTTGTATCAAGCTGTAAATAAAACAATATAACGTGCTATTTACTATGAGTATAATGAACTGAAAATTTTAAATATTAGTATATATTTTATTCAAACATCGAATAATGATTCCCAAATGTATAAAACTCATAAAATAACACTAAAATTTATAGAAGAGTTTAATATTAGGATAAAAAATTCCAGCATGTAGTTGGAGTACTTATTGTTTTCAATACGTGTAAAGGCAACTGAAGATAAATTATTGCGTAAGTATAACAACACATCCGACCCATGAAATAGTAGTTAAGAGACTAAAAGCCTGAACAAAAATAGTCCGTAGAAGTTTTAGTAAACAAATGCTTTGGTTATTTATTGGGTACCAGCTAGCAGTTGAATCCAAGACGCACGATTCATTCTATTTAGGACTTGTTATTTGCACGTGCACACATATCAGTTAGTGCTGGTGTTTCTATTGACATCCTAATTTAAAACCAATCGTTTGAACGCCACAGTTATCCATTAGGCTGTTGAGTTCAATGGTAGTATCATGTACAACAGGTAACAGAGCAATATGTCATTGTAATTTTTGGTTTTCCCATTGTTGATTTACAGGACTGAATTAGTCACTCTCTGTTGCTGTTGGTATATGGAACGATAGTTAGGTCATCGTTATTTAATCAGTAGAGAGTTAGCAGTAAAATGCAAGACGCGCGTTTCGTTCACTGCTACCCACTTCCCAATTTATGGTGTTATGACTAATCGGTCTAGACATTCAAACTTTAACCACAGGACCACAAGTTCGAAGTATACGCCACCCACTGTGCTTCGGGGCAGCCACGTAGTATAACCGACCACCATGTAATAGATATGACTCAGTGACAGGGTGTACAGAGCTGCACATGGTTTCTGAGTTATACATTTTTCAATCATTCTTACTGCCAAATATATGACACAGACTTGATTACCGGCAATATTTCTGCACCCAGGCAAGAAGTCCAAAGGTTATCAGACTACCTCATTCAGTCTAGGCTATTTGGTAACCAGAAAACTACAACTACGTCGGAAAAATAATACTTCAGTTTAACACACAATACAATCAAACACCAGTTTCGGGGCTGTGAGACAAAAATACCTGTTCAGTCCAGCTTGGTTACTGCAACATAGTCAACCGAAAATTTGCAAAATACGCATAATCACCAAATTGACCTTCTCACTGAAATAGGCTTAAGCGCTCTCATTGTCGAGTTTCATTCGTGATGTTCCTGTTGCTTAAGTTTCTCCACGTCTATGGAGACTCAGACATGTACGCGCTCGGACCAAAGCGTGGTCGTTATCCAAACACGCACTCCAGAAGGAGAGGCAGTCTTTCGCCGATCCTCTCCAGCGATGACTGATACCAATGTGGCCTATTTGTGTTCATCGCTTATTTGAGGTCGGTGGACGCCACGTCAGACAGTGTCTTTATTTATATCTGAAATTTGTGCTAACTAAAAATAGGCGGTTATCTGTGCACAGTTGTAGTACACGATCACCGTTATCTGTTCGTTCAGCCGGGATTCCGAAAGTGCCACCTAAGACCCTTTCTGCCTCACTCAGTCTATCCACTTGGTCATTGAAATCACCTGCAACAACCACCATGTCCAACCTCGCCTGGTTAACTAGTTTACTAGTTACTAGCCGGTCCTAAGCCCGGGTAAAGAGCGAAGGTTGGGCATAGGGCTAGCAACCCTACCCCCTAAAACAAATCTAACCGCTTAACAAACTTCAAAGCACAAACAAAATATAAAAAATGAAAACAAACTTATTCCTCGCTGGAATCGGAGGGGCGAAATGACGCCAGTTGGTGAAAGCCTTCGGGAAGCCAATTGGCCGATGTGTCTTCTCTCGATGAAAGCGAAAGTAAACGTGGGGACATGGAATGTCCGTACGATGTTTGAACCCAGTAAGGCAGCCCAGATTGCAAAGGAGATGAGAAGGTATAACATCGAAGTGCTTGGGATTTGCGAAAGCAGATGGAATGGGAGTGGACTCTCCAAACTGTCAACTGGAGAATCAATAATCTACTCCGATATTGTCACCCAGACGCCAACCACGAGCACACTGAGGGAGTGGCTATCATGATGTCCTCAAGAGCATCGAAGGCTCTCATGCAGTGGGAACCAATCTCCTCCAGGATCATGACAGCAAGATTCAACTCAAAAGGAAGAAAGGTCACAATCATACAATGTTATGCACCTACAAATAATGCAGAGCAAGAGAAAAAGGAGGAATTCTACAGACAACTTCAATCAACACTGGACAAGACGTCAGTTGGCGATATCAAAATTCTGATGGGCGACATGAATGCCAAACTGGGAGGGGACAACACGGGAAGAGAACTAACCATGGGTCGAGAAGCGCTAGGTGAGATGAACGAGAATGGAGAATTGTTTGCAGAATTCTGCGCATTCAACGATTTGGTGATTGGAGAGGCAGTGTGTTCAGGCACAAAGATATCCACAAAGCGACATGGATTTCACCAGACGGACACACTAAAAATCAAATCGACTTTATCTCAATCTCAAGAAAATGGAGACGCAGTCTACTTAACACAAGGTCAAGAAGAGGAGCAGATGTAGGCTCAGACCACTATCTAGTGCAAGGAACCTTCCAAATCAAGTTAAAAGCCTTCAAGGAAGCTGGTGATAGACCACACAGTTCAAGTACAACACCCAACAGAAACTGAAGGATGAAACTACAAAGGAGATCTTCACGGCAGCCAGCCATCAAGACAAAATGGGAGATATCGAGGAACATCCCTGAAGAAACCTATGTGCAAGAACACTGGAAGTCTTTGAAAGCTATGTGGAAAGAAACCTGCACAACAGTATTAGGAAGGAAGAAGAAAGAAGACAAGGAATGGATCTCGACGGATACCTGGAAGCTGATAGAGGAGAGGAGGATGGTGAAGCAGAAGATAAACCAGTGCAAGGATGCTCAACGACAAGAGGAACTGAGCACAATGTATAAAACACTGAACAAAGAAGTAAAGAAGAGTGCACGCAAAGACAAAAGACACTTCTACGAAACACTGGCAAGTGAAGCAGAACAGGCTGCAGGTAAGAGAGACAGAGACCTGACGACATTGTATCAAATAACCAGGTTGCTATCAGGGAAGAGACCAACACAGATGAAACCAATAAAAGATGAAGAAGGAAATTTAATTACAAAAGAAGAGAAACAGAGGAAACGATGGGCCGACCACTTCAAGAAGCTCTTGAATCGACCACCACCTGCACTTCGTCCAGAAATACCACCTGCAGCCGCTGAATTACAAGTGAACATAAATCCCCCAACGAAAATGGAAGTCCTGAACGCCATAAAGCTACTGAAATGCGGGAAAGCAGCAGGACCAGATGGGATACCGCCAGAAGCACTGAGAACAGATGCAGAGACAACAGCGGACATGCTCACACCACTATTGCAGAAGGTGTGGAAGGAAGAGAAGGTACCGGGTGATTGGAAGAAGGGTTACCTTGTCAAACTGCCGAAGAAAGGAGACCTCAGTGCTTGCAAGAACTGGCGCGGAATCACTCTCCTGTCCACCCCAAGTAAAATATTAAGCCGCATCATCCTGGAGAGGCTTAAAGACGCACTGGATTCAAAACTGCGACCGGAACAGGCAGGCTTCAGGAAGTACAAATCATGTGCAGACCAAATTGCAACGCTTCGCATCATCATAGAACAGAGTATAGAATGGCAATCAGCTCTCTGCCTCAACTTCATCGACTTTGAGAAGGCCTTTGACAGCGTCGACCGAGAGGTAATTTGGAAACTGCTTCAATACTACGGAGTACCGCAAACCTTTATCCGCCTCATTCAACAACTATATGAAGATGCCACATGCCAAGTAATTCACAATGGGAAGCTCAGTGATGCTTTTGAAGTGAAGACAGGAGTGAAACAAGGTTGCCTACTATCCCCCATGATATTCCTGATTGTGGTGGACTGGATCATGCAGCAAACAGTAGGCAGCGAGAAGAGGGGGATACACTGGACGACGGAAAAGAACCTAGAAGACTTGGATTTCGCCGATGACTTGTGCCTAATGTCACATAAACTTGAAGATCTGCAGGCAAAAACTAACAAGTTGATAGAAGAGGCAGCGAAGACGGGACTTCAGGTGAATATAGAGAAGACAGAAGTGATGAAGATACCGCACCACCACCATCAACAACAACAACAAACTCCAATCACCGTCAACGGGAGAAACTTGAAGGAAGTAACCTCCTTCACCTATCTAGGAAGCACTGTTTCAACTACAGGCGGGACGGACGAGGACGTCAAAGTCAGAATCGGAAAAGCAAGACAGGCGTTCATTAGCCTGAAACCAGTGTGGAGATCTTCTGCACTCAGCATGCGGAACAAGATACGGATTTTCAACACCAACGTCAAGTCAGTGCTCTTGTATGGTTCAGAGACTTGGCGCGTCACGAAAGGCATTTCCAATAAACTACAGACATTCATCAACAACTGCTTACGCTCGCTACTGGAGATCAGATGGCCAGAAAGAATAAGCAACAAGGAACTCTGGGAACGAACCAACCAAGAACCTATCACGCAACAAATATGCAGGAAGAAGTGGAGATGGATTGGCCATGCACTGAGAAGGCCGACTGAGGACATCACGCGTCAGGCCCTCGAGTGGAATCCCCATGGGAAGCGACGAGTTGGACGTCCAAGGGTGACATGGAGGAGATCGTGTGAGGAGGAAATGAGAGCTTCTGGGCTGTCGTGGGACCAGGTTCAAAAGATCTCAGAGAACAGAGGTCACTGGAGGCGTGCTACTGAAGCCCTATGTTCCACTAGGAACCCAAGGGACTAATAATAATAAATAATAAACCACCATGTCCGAACGTCTGGCTTTCGAGAGGAGGCTAAACAGTTTTCCGTAGAACTCATCCGAACGGCAGTCAGTGGGTGCGTAAGCAGACATTACAAAGAGTAAACGGCGAGTTCTACTTCGACTTTCAGCTCTTAGTGTCCTGTTCAGCCAAATAGCGCATAAGCTACTGTCAACTGGTATACAGTCTAGTGGTAAGCTTTCCGCCCTAGTGCTTAATGCTATGCCTACACCTACAAGATAGTGAGAGCTGGCCATCGAATCTCCAGAAACTCGATGAGTGAATTTCACGGATTTCTCATATTGGTCGGGTGAGATTAAGTGAATAAACGCACTTAAGTCCCATATGCGTGTCTCACAAACACACCACACATCCACTCCCCGAGTTGCTAGAGTCTTTGCCAACGAAGCCTGTTGACCAATTTGACGGAGGGTGCGAACATTGAAGGTCCCAACGTGTAATTTTCAGCGTAGTCTGAGGAGACAAGGAATGTTGTTCTGTGGACTCAGATCGTTATCAAAAGCTGTATAGCTGGAACAAATTACAGATGATGAAGGGCGATTGACTGAGAGATGTGAAGGAAGATTGGAATGTACGGATGTGAGGGTGAATCGTGATATGAGGGAACTTGAGTGCTGATAGGATCGTGAGGGCGGTTGACACTAGTCGGTTTCCCATATCGTGGAAAGCCGTTTGTTCTTGAGATACCTGAGAAAGAAGAGTTAACGCGTAGCCGCAGAGTTTAAGAGACATTTCCTTGACTATGGTTACACATAGTTTCTTTGAACGTTAGGGATTTCGGCTTGCTAGTTTGGAAGCCGACTATAAACCCAGTTCGCTGTCACCGGCATGTCCTGGAGTAGTGGAGAGCGTGCTATTTTAAGGACCGACCTTTTCGAACACCCCATTCTCACGGGGAGGCAACATCAGCATGGCGCTGTTGGTTGTCTGGGGGAAAAAACTTACTGCTGTCCCACCTCATCCACCCAGCAGTGCGACTGTGCCCTCGGACCCCTATCATAGTGTAGTAGTTTACATTATAGCGGTAGCTGGTTTTTGTCTTACCACGATCTAACCTTTTTGGTACGGTAGGGTCTGGAAGGAATAAGGGTTCCACTGGCACAACTCATTGGGTCATTGTGATGTACAACCCCGACCACCACGTCAAGGTAGCAGCTATCGGTCGGGACCCTTCGATGGGATTTAGATAAAAATTATGCATAAGAACAGGGCTAAGAAGAGGTGAGAAAACCAAGAAAGACAAGACGAAGAGAAGTTTTTCGACTTCACAGAATAACATGAAACGACATATCACTGTATGAGAACACCCCTATTTGGTTTGTGTGTAGACTTTGCTAACTAAAGGCTATCTTAAGAATAGCCTACATAAAGTCTATGAAATTCGGAAATTAAAATGATAATTTATTATTTATGATTCGTCTTTGAAGCATGACCTCTGATACGGTGGTCGGAAATTCACTCTCATTGTTCTTAATCTGTTATCTTGTGGATACTCACAATTATCAAATTTTTTTAAGATAAACTTGAAACTTTTATTTCATCAGGAATAAAATTTATTCACTTGCTCATAGGTTCTCACCGGATATTTTGATATTTAGGATATTACTTATTCGATCCTTTTAAAAAACATTTACTTTTAGGCATGAATCTCTACGACTTAGCTCGGTTGCCATGTGATATCAGAAGCGATAGCCTATCAAAGTTACTGTGGACTGTGATTTAAAATTATGCTTAAAGAACGCTAACGGACTCATCTCTTCTAACTGTAAAATTAAACTTCGCAGCAAAGTAGAAACAAACGGGCACGAATACTCAACCTTCAGTAGGTAGTCAGGTTCTAAAGTCGAAGGAATTAAAAACCCACTCAGGACCCCTGTGTACGTCTGTGCAATAGGCAGTGAGCCACACATGTTAAATGAGGGTTAATGATGCTACCTGGTTGCTCACTGATCGTAGGTGGAACTGGATTCAAACCCATGGACCATTGATTGAAAGTCGAATGTTTAGACCAGTTAGGTACTGCTACAAGTCGTTTGGTACATGATGCAGCTTTTTTCTACCTTCCATTAAATTGAGCCAACATTCTCATATGATGATACAACTTAGTGAAGTAGTACAGGTTTACATATTATGCTATGAACTACATACTCTGAGTGGTTTGATGATACACTCAGCTGCCCATAGAGTAGGTGGAGCAGGTTTTGACACATTATACATTGCTTGAAACTGGAGTTGTTAAGTCAATAGACAACGGTATATCAGATAACTATAGAATAATAGTACTGCATAGATATGCAGGATAATGCGAAATTGTAACTGCTGAAAGCGCCCTCCTTAGACTTACCCTCAAATAATATCTCACCACAAGGTTGACTTGATGGAGAGGATATAAAAATAGATAAAGATATCAATGAATTTAAATATTCTGCAGGAATTAGTTCGCTCAAACTCCGAGGTACTATTTGGCTAAACAAAGGTGAGAAAATCGTAGGGAATTATACAATTTCCTCACTAGAGTATCGAAAAGACTAGATTGTTGAAGCCACCTTAACTTCAAACACTTAATAGTCTTCGTGCTCCACAGACACATTTCGTTTACCAAATTCAAGAAAGTGTATCTCCCCAGTTAAGCTACCAATAAAACAAAAAATATATAACTAACTCAAACAAATAAACGAAAATTTATGCATACAATAGTCAAGTCATTCAATATTTAAACACATGAAATCCATCCACATAAAAAATGTTTGAAGGTGTATGGTAGGTAGTAGCGAAAATATTCATATGGGTACTGAAGCTAAAAAAATTTGACTTACTTGTAACTTAGTCAATTTCCCACCATAAGTTTTAAAATAAGAGTAATAGACTTTACTCATTGTATTGATATATTCCACTTTAATCTCTTTAGCTATTTCTCGATCATGAGCCAAAAGGAATGAATTATAAAATCTAAATGCAAGAAGATATCGACAACAACAACAACACTTTGAAGAAATTCAAAGAATACAAGAATGTGGTGAATGAAAGGTCAAAATTCCTAAAACTTAGCGTCCATGAACTCTCTTTAATTGTACAGTTCAAGAAAAGGTTGTTCACCTTCGATTACACTGAATTGAGAAACGTTTCTACTCTGTAAATGAATATCAACATTATTCATACGATTGAGTTTATGCACGATAATGAAGCCACTTTTCAGTGGATATTTTCTGTGGCTTTGTTGGTTGTTACAAAACGGAAAATAGTTTCCTAAACAGTGCACATTAATAACGATTTTAACGTATTGGGTGACGACCAACGCATGGTCTTCTCACACCACTTATCACTGGCCTACCCCATACGAAGTGATACAAGTGTAAATAAAACAAACATATGGACATACTAAAATAAACGTAGAACCTAGCACACAAGTGCATCACCTCAAGCTGCCACAACCCATAGTAGTACCATAAAGAACAGTTGGCTAAAAAAGGAGTAATAAAAGTAGGCAAAGTTTTGTCAGAAAATAAACAACGTGGAGATAAAAGCCAGTGTGAATATTCAAGCTTTAGAAGATGCCAAAGAGTGAATACATCTGCGCCGTTGTCACCGATTTCCTACCATATCACCAACAGTCCTCAACCACTGTTTCCTCTCGTCTTCAAGACCCCAACCGAGTAGTCTACATCTCCTCAGACGCCTCAGACCAACAGCAATACACCTCAACGATTGGTGCCAGGTCTTGTTCTGACCATTCTGAACCTTCTTCCAACCTAACTAATCCAGCATCCATTAGAACACTACACCGATTTCGGCGGTGGCTTAGCATACACACTACATGTCCAAGCCATCGCAGTCAACTAAGGTTCACAAAGCTAATTAAATCGCACGTCTTAACCTAGAACTCTACCCTCATCACAACCATTATCATCATCCAAATCAATATAGAACCAGGCATTACGCCAGTGGACATGAGCAGCTTCTTCCGAACTAATGAATGCACGTGAACGCATCCCTGCAGACTCTGAGTACAATGAAGAGCGAGCGCAACTTAAAAGTAGATTGAATAAAATTCTACGCAACTACCACGAACAGTGATCGGGAGCGAAGGCTAAAGAGATGGAAAAGGCAGTGGCGATTGGTAACAGCAGACGCTTATTTAGACTCATTAAGGAAAGGGGGGGAAGTTAGTGAGACCATAGCGGAGAAGGACGGGTCTACGATTCCCTCCCAGGAGAGACGACTGGAACGATTGGCAGAACACTTTGAAGAACAGTTTAACTGGCCTCCAACCACCATTGCGTTGCCCACTGTTAAGTCGAATTCTGAATGGAACATTGAGATAGGCCCCCCAACACTAGCAGAAGTCGAGAAAGCTGTAGGTAACCTGAAACGATGAAGAGCAGCAGGACCAGACGGACTAACTCCTGAGGTATACAAGGATGGTGGTAGAGCATTCTTAGTCAGGTTAACTGGAGTGTTAACCAGTATATGGGAAACAAATATGATCCCTTCTGACTGGTCTAAATCATAGATTATCCCAACCTTCAAGAAAGACGAGAAGTCCTCTTGTGATAACCACAGAGGAGCTAGGAAACAGTAATCCCAAGAAAACCAGGCAGGCTTGAGACCCGGCCGTGGGTGTATCGACCAAATATTCACACTACACCAGATTCTGGAACACAGGCACGCTTACCAACGCCCAACAATAGCTGTATCTCACGACCTTAAGGCGACATTCGACTCTGTCGACCGAGAGGTCTTATGGCAATGTCTCTCACTGAAAGGCGTGCCGAGTAAGTACATCACCTTATTGAAGGCTCTCTACTCGAAAACTTGTGGGCGTGTTAGAGCCAATGGTGGCTTTCAAGTGCATTCATTAGTTCGGAAGAAGCTGCTGATATCCACTGTCTCTTTCTGGCCACTCTTTCAGATTCGACTACGCTCTTCACGGCTGTGTTTATAGCAGACTGCAGCAACCTTCTTCGGGATGAGTGATAGCATTCTGTTCCAATAGCTGTCTAGCTGACTTCTTACTGAACGCGATTTTCGCGTTTTCGTAGTGGCTTTTTTGCAAAATTTTTCCTACGTCCAATGAGACGCAGGCATATACGCGCTGGGACAAACGCGTGGTCGCTATCTAAACACCTGCTCCAGAAGGAGAGGCGACTTTTCACTGACCATCTCCAACAATAACTCAAATGTATGTGATCAACCTCTGTGCACCACTGAGTTGAGGTCGGTGGACGCCACGTCAGACAGTGTCTTTATTTATATCTGAAATTTGTGCTAACTAAAAATAGGCGGTTATCTGAGCACAGTTGTATTAGACGATCACCGTTATCTGTTCGTTCAGCCGGGATTCCGAAAGTGCCACCTAAGTCCCTTTCTGCCTCACTCAGTCTATCCACTTGGTCATTGAAATCACCTGCAACAACCACCATGTCCGAACGTCTGGCTTTCGAGAGGAGGCTAAACAGTTTTCCGTAGAACTCATCCGAACGGCAGTCAGTGGGTGCGTAAGCAGACATTACAAAGAGTAAACGGCGAGTTCTACTTCGACTTTCAGCTCTTAGTGTCCTGTTCAGCCAAATAGCGCATAAGCTACTGTCAACTGGTATACAGTCTAGTGGTAAGCTTTCCGCCCTAGTGCTTAATGCTATGCCTACACCTACAAGATAGTGAGAGCTGGCCATCGAATCTCCAGAAACTCGATGAGTGAATTTCACGGATTTCTCATATTGGTCGGGTGAGATTAAGTGAATAAACGCACTTAAGTCCCATATGCGTGTCTCACAAACACACCACACATCCACTCCCCGAGTTGCTAGAGTCTTTGCCAACGAAGCCTGTTGACCAATTTGACGGAGGGTGCGAACACTGAAGGTCCCAATGTGTAATTTGCAGCGTAGTTTGAGGAGACCAGGAATGCTGTTCTGTAGACTTAGATCGTTTTCGAAGGCTGCAGAGCTAGGAGAAATTGAAGATGATGTAGTGTTGTTAGCTGAGAGACGTGAAGGAAGATTAGGAGCTAATGATGAGGGTATGGTTATTTCGAACTTTTGTCGTTTTGGGGTAGGGATGGTCAGAAGGAAACGATAAATGAAGCAGCAACTCCGGCCGGGCAGATCGTGGGGCATGGTGGAGTGTGTTATTTGGGGGGCCGACCTTTTCTTACCCCCCCCCCACCCTTCCATTGAGAAGGCAGCATCAGCATGGCACCGCTGGTCATCCAAGGGAAATACCTTAGTGCTGTCACACCCCATTCAGCTTGCGGCAGAACGACTTCGCCCTCAGACCCAATCATAGTTTAGTAATTTACACCACAACGGTAACCGCTTCTCGTCTAACCACTGTCCAACAGACCTTTCTGGCATCGTAGAATCTAGATGGAACAGCAGCACGCTCGTTGGGTCATTGTGATATGCAACCCTGATCACCACGTCAAAGTAGCAGCTATCGTGGTCAGAACCAGCTGGAATTTTCTCGCATCAGTTAATTCGGATGGCATCGCGGAAATCCAATGACGTTTGCAAATATTTACCTTTACCACTGTTTCCTTAACAGACTTAATATCACGACAGTTTTCCTCAGGATGAGCATTGCTGTCATGTTCAGGTAAACGCATATAGCATCCTCATCTTCCAGTTGACAGTAGACAGGCTTTACTGTCTCCTGCTTCCTTCAAATAGTAAGGCACAGACATATACGAGTTCGTAATAACGCGAGTCCTAACTGGTATCCCAAAAACAGCGGCAATCTTCCACCGATCATCTCCAGCGATGGCTTATATCTGATCAATCTGATCTATCTGTGTCCATCATTGCTTTGAAGTCAGACGACGCCATGTGAAACAGTGTCTCTCCTCATGCCTAAAGCTAGTGCTGGCAGAAACAAGTAATTGTCACAACAAAATTCAAGAAGACGATCACCATTGCTGGTCCACTGGTATACAATTCCACAAAAACACCCAAGATGCCTTTCCGATTGTTTCAGCTCACCTTACTTACTTGAGCATTAAAGTCACCTGCCACCACGACTACATCTGAACGTTTTTGATTCTCTAGCAAATTGACAGCTTCTCATAGCATTCATCCCATGCATCATCAGCTCAATTTCGGTCCTACAGCTCAATGCTCTACCAAAACCAGCGAGTCTGCAAGAGCTAATCATTGGGTCTCCGGATACTCTTAAGGTGAATTTTGAGGATTCACTAGTGTGGCCAGGTGAAGTTAGTTTAATAACCACACTCAGTTCCTACATATGTATCTCAGAGAAACAGCATACATCCATGGCTAGAGATTCCAGAGTTCTGGTGAGCGATACATGCTGTCCGTTTTGACATAGAGTACGGATGTGGCAATAGTCCACCGACCATTTCCAATGACGGCTTAAAGAAACATGATCTTTCTCTGCCCATCGTAGGGTTTGATGTCAGCGGACGCCATGTGAGACATTATCTGACTTTGTGTCGAACGTTAGTGCTGGCCAGAAAAAAGTGATCGTCAGAACCAAATTGCAACGTTTTCGGTTAGTTGACATGAGACTCCGTGAATACACCCAAATACCTTTCCGATTGGCTTAGCTCAACTTCCTTACTTGAGTATTAAAGTCACCTGCCACCACGACTATATCTGAACGTCTTGCTCTCTGTAGCAAGGTTGACAGCTCCACACAGAATTCATCCTTTGCATTAGTGGGTGCGGAGATTACGAATAAGCATCGGTTGGTCTCACGATTTTTCTTCGTTATTACACATCCATTTAGTCGAATACCATATAGACGGCTGCTGACTGGTATTCAGTCGAGAAGCGCACTTTCTACCCTACAACTCAATCCTGTGCCTACACTAGCGAGTCTAAGGGGGCTAACCATTGGGTCTCCGGATACTATTGAGGCGAATTTTGACGAATCACTACTGTGGTCAGGTGAGGTCAATTCAATAACGACACTCAGACCCCGTATACGTGACTCAGAGGTACAGAGTCCATCCACAGCTAGAGATTGCAGAGTTTTAGTGAGTGGTGGTTGCTGTCTGATTGAAAGCTCCTACATGAAATCGATGGTCTGGTCGTAGGAGACTAGGAATGTGGTTTCGATGACTTTCATCGTTGAATGGTTGCAGATTGAGAGGCTGCTGGAAGTGAATGCAAAGGAGGAGACAGAATTAAGGGAGGATAGGTTATGTTTTAATTTGGTGTACTACGGGAAGCGTGCGGGCGTTTGACACTTTCTGAGTGCCTATACCGTGGAAAGCTATTTCTTCATAAGGTACCTAAAAGGGGTAAACATTGTTAGACCACAGAGTCCATGGGACATTTGCTTGAGATCCGTCACACGGTCTTTTAAGGATTTTTGTTACGAGGTTTGGTTGTTCACGTGTAAATAAGATCTCCAAAAATTCAATTAAACATGACTGACCTTTCTAAAAGCTTAAAGTCAATGTTTCTAGTAATACTAGTTTTCTAAAGAGGAGGTCTATCTGCAGTCTCATACTACACCACCAGCCACATACACTTTCTAGTTGAACTTTCTACGGTAGTATATTCTAAATCAAGAGTAATTGCTTAGATTGGTAACATAGTAAACAACAAGCTGTTCATGTAGTACAATAGCTCTATCTCTGTTTGTAGATCAATAGTTGAGTAATTAAAACAACAGATTCACGGTTGCATAACTGAAGGTATTAACACTATAACTCTAATAGCTTTCAAAGCACAGTCACCTGATACTTCATCTTACCACGTTGAATGATCAACAGAAATGCTCAGCATTACTCTCAATGGTTTTCTATAAGCAGTGACTTTTGAACTACCCTTTTCAACCTAAATATCCCTAGATAGACTAAGAATAATCATGAAACATGACTCAGCTCAGTGATAACACTGGTAACAACCCAATCTTCTAAACAGCGTCGTAATAAACATTGATGCACCTGTTGCGCCAGTAATGAACGAGATGGTATATCAGGGAAGGATGACATTGGCCCACAATCTGGCCGACAATGTTAAGTCATTTTGGAATAAATGTATTTCATCACTCTTTGTAACTCTTCAACAGAGATATTCATAACCAAAGAATAAAACACAATAAACTGATGATAACTGGTAAATGCCACGGTTAGTAAACAACAAGTGAACAGTATAACTGTAAATCAGCTGGGATTTACTTAAGGTCTGCATGTGATGGCCTAAGACGTTATAATGCTTACACCTGTGCGGGGGGGTAATGGAAAAAAGTATGCACAAGTGAAATCCTTACCGAAATTTCAACATCTGGTTTTGGGGGATCTGATAGTTTGTAAGCGGTTTGCGTAAAGCATAGATTTTCCCCAGTAGAAATTCTCGGATCTTCGTCACAGCCTACAACAGTACAAATATGTCTCAGGCAATACAGTTTAAAATAAACACTATACATAAAAAGAATAAATATTTAAAAAAGGAGAGACCTGAAATAAATGATCATAGATGGTAAAGTCATGATTGGCTCGTGGTGAAATAAGCTAGATAGGATAAGGGAACCACCACTCAAATCATCAAAATATTAACACTACATTGAAAAGAGAGTTTATCTATAGGAAATAATGTTATATGGAAATCCGTAAATATTTTGGAGAATTCGAAAAACGATCTTAAAATGATCTTTTTCCCTTCTCGTCGAACTACTGATTTCATTATTGAGTAGGCATATTTACATTGACTTCATTATAAGAACACTGATGATAGGTGCCTTTGGTAATAACAACTCCTTACGTGTTAATCCCACTCGATTAGTTCACAATATAAAAAATAAAGAAGTGAATTACTCAATTATTCCCATAGGATATCCTTACCTTAGTTTCAACTTTTTTAAAAGTACACTAACATCGTTAAACGATTTATAATCCACTGTAGATTGTTCTATAGAGAAATTCATTTTGTGATTTAATTCATGAAGATTTTCAAGAAACTCTTGTTCAGTAACAGGTGTGAACAGAATATGACTGAAATGATAAGGATACGTAAAGTTTTGTGAAAATGCTGAGTAAAATACAATTCTACGGAATAGGATGAGAGGAGAAAACATTAAATATTAAAGTTGAAAAATCAACACAAAAAAGACAAACCACTTTGCGATTCAAATCACAATACGTCCCACAGATAATAGCCTAGTTGGCAAGGGATGAAGACTGAAGACAAAGTGAAAACTTGAGTTATGGCAGAATTCGAACCAGTGACCCTAGAGTTACCGACTCGGTGTTGTACTAACTGAGGTATAAGACCCAGGTGTTAATTAGGTCTTAGTCTCACTTCGGGTTATACCCAATTGCCATGTGTCTACCAAACCACTGATGTCTGACACAGCCTCATAAATAATCTGATTGATATCAAAAGTGATTCAGTCAAAATATTTTCAACAAGCACACAATGCACATTAAGACAGATAGAGACTATGTACGAACCAGTGATACACCAATTTGACTCATACCATTTTGAATCACTAAGTGAATAGATCGATGGATTACAAAACTTGGGCCTTGAATTTCGATGACAGTTTGTCAATTTTTGCTACCGGAACAAACTCTAATGGATTGCTAACAATGGTGTTCAATAATAATGGTCTTTTACTCAGGGCAAAGTTTCACAACGTTAATAACCCTAAATACCATAAGAATTCGATAACTCGTTAAGCTTGTGGTATAAAAATCTTCGATTATTTCTAAAGGTAACGTATCAAGACCTCGAAATTCTAGAAATGTATAGACTTAAATATCAGATCAAAATAATTTACACCGCTCAAAACGTAGACCACATCTACTGAAAATACCATTCCAGTCACAATTAATGTGAGTGAATAAGCAGCTAACTCTTAAAGTAGAAGACATTGGTAACAAACACTACTTCAACAAAGTCTCGATGGAAAGTAACGGGAATTAAACTACTTTAGTCAATCGTTAGAACCTTATAACTGAAGTCGGACGGTGCAAAAAATGCACTGCCTAAAGAAAAGCCATAAAGCTTAAGCATCCAAAAATGTGAAATAGTCGCTATCTAGTGAAAATTCAAACAGCTGGGTTCAGTATCCCAATAATACTCTAAAAAACGACTCAGTAACAACTGCATTCATTATCTTAGGACAATGTAGTAAAAAGGTGTAAGCCTCTTTCGAAACAGACACTAAGATACTTACCGAATAAGCTCTTCAGGTATGGCCATGTCAGAAAGAAACTGGCTTAAATTACTGCGAACAGCCTGCACAAAAATGAGACAGTTTATCAACATCGAATTTAGCATACAATTGACTTTACGGGAAAAAAGAAAGTCAGACTAAACTAGAGAAACAAATAAAGGAATACGAATGTTTTCATACAGACATTTTCTACCCTACCTAACATGTAGATTGCAAGAACCATCATTGTGACTTATGTTAGAACCCTACCACCAAAACATAATCTATCACCAACATTGCAGAGCAGAAAAGTTTTCCAGTGTCTGCGCAATACTCTAACGCACACACATACATTATATTAATGTTAACACAAATCTTACACGCTGTAAGAAACAGACAGAAGTCACCATTGAGCAAAAAATTACGAAGCACTTATGTGAGAACCACAAAGCTTAGTGTTAGGGGGAGTATTTCGACTTCATCCCAACTTTTTGCGAAAGAAGCCTGGTGTTAATAAAACGGTCTATATGGCACAACTAAGTATACACTGTTCAAATCGCACTAATTAAGTCAGCTTTTAATGTCCGTAAGTACGACATTTAACTTCACATCATCAGCATCTCCACGGCTTTCCTAACACTGACAGGAAACTACACCTCCAACCATCCTTGATGACGAAGTGGTGGAGATAGTCAAAACGTCTATGTAACTACATGGTTGTGTAAATGCTTATGGAGGTGTGATTGATGAGGTTTTCGATCGTATATCAAAAACCAAAGCAACATACACCAATCTGGAACACCTGATGAGATGAAAGACAGTTTTGTAGAGTTATCATCTGTTGATGTATTATTCTCTGGGAGGAGTTCGAAAAGTTAGGCGACTCAGTGATGTTTTCAGATATGACTCAAAAGCTAAAACAGTAGCAGTTCTTCTATAGCTTTCTTGTTCTTTCTGTTATTGAAGAGCAAAACGAAAGTGATGAAACCTTTTTTTATAATCTATTTGATGGCCATCAGTGAAATCCAAGACACGCGTCTCGTCCTATCTAGGAGTCATCAGCTGGATGTGCCTGCACCCAAGTGGCGTTCCTATTGAGACTCGAGCCGCTACCCCTTACTTCAAACACTAGAGTTATCCACTAGGCCAATGGGGCACGAGAGACACCACTTGTGCGACGAGTATCATTTGCTGTTTACTGACACCTGTAATTTACCACTGCTATACTGGGTCGAATGGTTCGACACCTGTTGGTAGATGGGATACGATGCGGATGTGGATGAAACCTTCTCTACATGCATCTCATAAAACTTCTTCTTTGATAATCCATCTACTTCCATGCTCGTTTTTTCCTTCGTTTATATATTCTCTATGAGGTCATAATTTTGTTAAAGAATTAGCGTGCTCAAATTGCATCAACTTTTTTTTAAATTAAATAAACAAACATAATAATCAAATGTTAGTTTGTTACTCTGGAAGTTAGACTTTTCAGCTACACCAAATGTAAAAACCATTCTAAATGTCTTGTAAGTAATTGCATCGAAAAGTAGTCTTGGATATTGATACAAAAGTGTCATAAACTCAGCCTACTAATGGTTTCTCCATGACAGAAAATATGGTGGGATCACTGTGTGAGCAATGCTGAGGTCAGGGGAAGGTTACTAGTCAAGACAGGGAAGTCGGTTGATGATGTTGTGAACCTTAATCGACTGAGATGGCTTGGACATGTACTGTGCATGCCGAGCCACCTCCTACCTAGACGTGGCAGGCTAGGGAAAGGTGGACTAGGTAGGTTGGAAGGAGGGAGGTTTAGGGTGACCAGAACAAGACCTGGCACTAATCGATGAAGTGTCTTGCTGTTGGTCTGAGGCATCTGAGGAGATGTAGACTACTCGGTTGGGGTCTTGAAGACGAGAGGAAACAGTGCTTGAGGACTGTTGGTGATATGGTAGGAAATCGGTGACAACGGCGCAGATGTATTCACTCTTTGGCATCTTCTAAAGCTTGAATATTCACACTGGCTTTTATCTCCACGTTGTTTATTTTCTGACAAAACTTTGCCTACTTTAGTACCTACTTGTCCTTTATGATACTACTATGGGTTGTGGCAGCTTGAGGTGATGCACTTGTGTGCAAGGTTTTACGCTGATTTTATCAGTCAGTTTTGGATTTATAGTAACTATGTCCTAACTTACCTACACTTCATCTCGAACAGTCACTGGAAATATACAGCGAGGACGAAGTTTTTCACAGAAAAATATTTTAGTCAGCAAATCAGGGTAGAATTTATGTAGGCTCTTACGCCGGTAGATTAGCATGTAACCAGATATTACGAGTACGCCCCATTGACTTTGTAAGTAGAACATATCAACAACGAAATAGTACTTAATAAATGTATTCAACCAGCTTATCCATTTGTAACATTAACACTTACCTGTCTGTTTTGTAACCGAGTATTCATTAATAAGGACTTGCTTTGTAAATCCTGAATTTCGGTACTGATGGCGCCCAAATCTTCATGAAAATTGGTTAATATACCCTCAATTCTCTTAATAAGTATAAGAATATACTGAAAATTAGCATACCTCTAAGATTGCATCACACGCAGCAATTTGATTATGCAAATTAGCCACTTCAGGACTGACAGTTATATCTAATTATCTATCAATATATGAATAAGGAAACATCTACATGTCTTTATTAGTGATTCTTCTATTTTCACCAACTCCGACTCAACTTGGGCAGCATAATCTCGCACATCAATACCCTAAATTTTCTGATAACAAAATGTGATGTCATACTGATTTTAGAGCTATTTCCTCTATTTCTGTTTTCAGCGGCTCTGGCAATGTAACTGAAGCATTATTGCAACACTACAAAAATCTTACCATCAGTATCCATTGCTATTACTGCTAACAAACAGGTAAATAAAAGCTATTTTGTGCTTCATACAAACGTTTACCGCACACAGTGTTAAACCTCTGCAATATCTGAAATTTCAAACAAAAGTATGAGTAGTACCTTCAGAAAACGAAAACGTGAATAAAATGCCTTTCAAGAGTGAATTCACTTTGAATTAAGATAATCTGAATCTGACTGAAAAAGTATGACTATGGTTGGAATTTACTGAAAGTCCTGACTGGATTTTAAGACTATGAAGTTTAACGTTCTGGGGATAAACAGAAAAAAGCATTCTTCCACCAAACTAAATACTGAAATGAACAAACACAAACAAATCAGTCAACTTCCACTAACAATGATAGTGCTTCCGGCTGAAACAAGAACATCAGAATCACTAAACTACTCATGAATTACGAACAAACGAAGTCACTAAACAGGTCCCCTACGCAGATAAAAAACTTAATTTAGAACCTTGCACATGACTGTATCACTCCAAGATTCCACAATTTAAAGCAACGCAAAAAACGACGTCGACAAAGATTTTAAAAACTACAGTAAATAAGTGGGCACAAGAGAAATAAACGAATGAAGGCTAGCAAAAGTAAAGCGCCACAAGGAATATACAAACTCCCCTTTTACTAATATTATTCACTCTAAAACAAACTTGGCAAGCAACAGGCACGCAGAGATGCACCGTACAAAATAATCTAAGGGATGTAAAGTTGACATGGAGATAACAATAGAAACTGAGAGTAAGGACAGAAATGAATTGTTGAAAAAAAAGTCCCAAGGACACATATGAAGAAATATTTACAGCTTTTGCTTTACTTCTCAGCAGCAACAAAAAACAAGAAAGTTGCAACACAACCATCAGTGCTTTTGATTATGAACCATATTGCTAACATTTCAAGCCAGTCTCAAAATCTCTTGGATCTCATACAGAGCTGTGAGACAATAACAGACGCTAATCCTATAAAACTATTTTTTGTCCTACGTCGTAACATCATACACTGACCATCTCTCCACTTGCCTCTACTAGTCCTACAGTTAACAAACAACAAATAGCATCAGTACTACTGTTACAACATAAGCGACGCCGTGACAACCCAGGAGAGAGACGTTTCTCAAGAAATCCCAAACACATTTCCCCTTTATGAACCTCAGTCGCAGTACTTTCTCTGTTTATTAGAGCTACCTCTGACTAGTTGAACAGGACTGTGCTGTGAGATTTATTGTCATAGAAAGCAAACCATAAATTTTTAAGTATCTCGAGAGCCTCATACTCCAACATATAAGATGGAGTAAGCACATTAAGCCACCTCTCCATTACTCCAAACTAAAAACAAGGTCAGGCAAAGCTGTCTGACTTCGTCGTTTCTCGTTAAAGTTGTTATTGATGATATTCTCGAGACAACTACAAAGGAGATACGCAGTGATAGTCTTAACCTGTCGGCAAGTGAAAGAGTTTCCAACCTTAGGTATACGGACGATATCATTCTATCATGCGTTTAAGTGCACATTGTTCAAATTGTACTAATTCTGTCGGCAATTACTGTCCGTAAGTACGGCATGTAACTCGTACCATTAAAATTCCCACTACTTCCCAACACTCTACACCTAACTTCTGCGTTACTCACGTGGTGACACCACGAAACACGGCCTATGCTACGAAGGAAACACTGGTCAAACACCTGAAGCCCTCAATGGTCATTATTCACAGCCCCACACAGTAGAACGCAGCGAGCTCTAGTGTAGCACACTCAACCCTTAATTGACAATCAGACATCGCAGCGGCACCACACAGCACAAGTTGGTGAAAGTCAGTCGAATTTTTTTATCTATGCAGAGATTTCATGTCACTGAGCAGGCCGAAGTTCAAACCCGCGTTATGAGTCCAAAAAAGGTACGTCCAACCTTTATCTTTGCCATGCCAATCATAAAGCATTATCTGCCATAGATTCATTTTGCATCAGGTATGTATCTCCTTCATACCTCATTCATTTTCCCATTGTTATAGACTTAACCTGCACTATGTAATCACAATTTTATTTTCATAATCCCCCGTTTATTTTCATACTGTCATAGCCTTAACCTTCATTACGTAATTAAAAGCCATTTACTTCCGAACAAGTGTTTTACAGTAAATTGGCTTTATTGTCAGAAATGCCTTGTTTGTAGAACGTTAAGTGGTTACATCTTGAATGCCTCCAAGCAATCATGAAGAAATAAATCTGGATTCCTACAAATAGTTTCAAGCCTGAAAACCATAGTCAAGAAATTTATACGGGTTACTGAATGCCCAGTAAGAGTGGTAGCAGATGAAAATGATTTCTACTAAACAAAAGGTGAGTACTAGATAGAAGAATAAATTATATAAGTTCCAGTAGGCTTCGACCTAAACATTTTTAGTGTTTGGTTCGATAGTCTGGTTTGGGCTTCTCCAAGAGAAATAGGAATCAAATTACCAAAGACACAAGTGACGTAATAGTCGTGTTACTCTTTTATTTTTTTAATAACGATCATTGTCATCCACTGCATACCATGTGCTTGTGATGCGTGCGATTTGTCGTTTTCTGTAATATGTTTTAGTGAGCAAACAAGACGAAAAAGCACCAAATAAGTCCAGCTGATGAGTCCTGAACAAGACGAAACCTGTTCGCAGGATCCCATCGTCAGGTCATTTTTTAATGTGCTTAACATTTAATCGCGAGCAATATTAAAGGCATAATTATTGGTGTGTACCACTGCAGATTGACCAATTCAGTCAGATAAATAAATAGCAATCTGGCAAAACTTTAATTATCGCAAAACTAAATGTTCATTTGAATAAAGCATTTCGAAAGAAAGATTAATAATAAATTTAGGAGTCTTACTTTTTACTTGCATATCTAATGTTTATTTGGTGACTAGCTTCTTTGTCGCATGCGTTACAAAAGCCTTTGACGACCATAAGAAGGGAAATAATTTTAATGGGTTATATGAAAAGATTGATGAGCTGTGGAATAAATGACTTATTTTATGCTGTTAACAGCCAATGAAACACTTAAATTTGGTAATGAAATCAAAAATCATCATAGGATGAGCAGAACCTTTAACTCTGAGTAGCTTAGTAGTAGTACTTGTGACTGGATGTTGTTTGGTTAAAATTATTTGATACGACACAGTGACAGATTATCTACTTGACGCTTCCAGCATAAATTATTGCTCATAATCATTTTAGTGTAATCACACAAGATTCGACATGAGTTTTACACTCCTATCACTGGGTATACTCTGCTTTTAGTGGCAGTGAAAATGTTTTACACCTCGGGCATAGACCTTGAGTCATTCCTCTTATATGTCTTTGGCGTCAATTTGATGAACAAAGATCAGCTAATCAATCTACACCTAAATATGGTGGTGGTTAGTGGTTATGTAAGCAGAGATTACAAAAAGAACGGCGTTTGTCACCTTCCTCGGTTGCTCTTACTGGCCTATTTCGTCGAACAGCACGCGGCCATCACTCAACTTGTATCCAGTTAAACAGTACCCTTTCTGTCCCTAGTCGATGTCATAGATATACATAAGACTACGAGAACTACCCCATGAATCTCCAGATATTCGTGGTATGAATCTTAAGAATTCACCAAGTTGACCAGGTTAGGACAAGTGAACAGTCCCTGTGCATGCGTTCATGATCTGATGCACCATAATTTTATATAACGAGTCTCTTTGCCTGATTTGATGAAGTCCAGATATCGTTAGCTCCAACAGCTAATTTGGAGCGTGGTTTCAGCAAACCAGTGATGCTATTCCATGAGCTCAAGTCGTTATCACGCACTTCAGGGCTGGAATAAGTTGAGTGACGTAAAAGTACTGATAGGAGGGTGAGGAAATTCAATGCCAGAAGTGAATGGTCCTTTCGCATAACCCATTGGTCTAGACAGTTGAATTTTAAACACGAGGTCACTAGTCCGGAACCTATTTCACCTATCGGGGTTTGGTAAAAACAGTATCAACAGCTCTCAAGACTTGTATGAGCATGAACACTCAAGGTTCTTTTTAAGAAACTGCAGACAGCGAAATTGAAAGGTTTGCTTACTACTTTATTATTATAACTTTTATTTTGGGTCTGCAGTCATATATATCCAACATTACGAGACAGAGCAATGTGAAGAAATTACGACCGCTAGTAAAACGTTGATCTACATAGACCGCAAACCGAAAAAACGATGGCCAAGATTAGCAAGAATAAAAAAATGCAGGGTAGGGTGTTGGCACAAAACATCTAGTGCTACTACGAAAAATGTTGAGTGTAATTAACCAAACACACACCTTTCAAAATACATAGTGCTAAACCCCTAGTATTATCAGGCTATTTAGAAATTGAATAAAGTTGTAAGCCTATCAGCCTCTACAATTGGTAATAACAATGACAACTAACTTTTTGAGATGTCAGTCAAAAAACAGGTGTCAGCTATCTGCGTAGCGAAGCCTTTAAGCTAAGAATACGAAATTCGTTGTTTCAATATTGATTACACGTGGTTTCAAACGGCTAACAACAGGATAAAAAGGTTCTCTGCCTAACTGTCTTCATGTCCAACAGCAGTGAAAAAAGTCCAGTCAGTTGTTAACCTGTGCACAAATAGATACGGGAAGGAAATTGGTGGTTAAAATAGAAATAACAAGTGGGTTTTGACTGAGTCCAAATGGGAATGGGTATAAATTTAGCATTTACGAAGTTTGGACAAGTTATTCTGTGCGACTTTTTTATGGAGGATGTTCTCGATTCCTTGCAATTGCCGGAAGTTATGCTTTATATCTAACCTACTATTTCAGACTTGGTCTGTGTATTTGTTCTCTACAGTCGGTATTACAACTATGGTTAAATGCCACACAGCGGCCTTCCAGTAGTGTGCAGTGTACTGTGAACCATTGTTAATTTCCTACTGGTCACATTAATTCCGGAAGATATCGACCGAATGCCACTGGTCTTTATTTGAACGTCTGAAGCTTCGATC